AACCCCCCCCCCCACCCGCCCCATCCCAACCGTCAACCACACTCCGTCCCCCTCGACACATAAAACCTCAATAAATATTCTTACATTATATATGCATATACATATACATTCGGTATAGCCATACACATTAACCCTCCTTTCCCTTCCTCCCACACCACACTACCGGCCGCCACTACCGCCACCGCCTCCACCACCACAACCATCACCACTACCATCACCACTACCACCACCACCACCACCACAACAACAGCCACTACTCCCCGCCATCCCGGCAGTCCAACTCGACTTATCGCGGACGAGATGCGAGATGCAGCAGCAAGCGAGCTGATAACGAGGAACGTGCTTCCATCGGTCCCCGTGCATGCTGCTCTCGTCGAAGCCTGTCCGCGGGCCCCCGCCGTCTACCCTGCGCCAAGATGGCAGCTGTTTTGACCGTCGAGCAGGAGCAAGTAAGCATTACCGATCCGCAGGTTCCAACTATTTCGTCGGCGAGGCTCGTACCGCTTAAGTGACTTAACCTTCATCGCCGAACGCGCGCGAACGCTAAGTAAACATCCCGTGGCTTCGTCAACCCGCCCCTCTCGCGCGTCCCCACGATCTTTGACTTTGCTCTAGGATTACGTACGCGCGTCCCAGCTCTCGGTTCTTCATGCTCATCCGCATGCCCAGGGACGCATGATAAAGTACCTCGGGAGTGTCCGTCCATTGGCGTCTACTTGTAGATTATTCAAAATCATCGCGTAGTTCATCGCCGCCTTGCCGCAAGTTTTTATGAGCCGGTGACGGGGACAATGACTAGGAGAGTCTCCTTATGTCCGCTGCATTCGGACAAATTCCGAGCCTCCACTTGTTGCTCCTAGCCAAACAATCATAACTCAGCGCTGCAAAAAGACATGCGAATAGAGTAGTGATGTGTCAAATATTAGTGAGCGACTGTTTTGTATTTATTAGGCGACCAAGGAATTCATTGAGATGGTCAATAAATGCAGAGCTGGACGTCGTGTGGGACCGGTCTCCTGGAGTACGGCTGTGAAATTTTTGTCAGCGAGGAAGTTCGAGGTATCCAGGGCATTGGCACTGTACGAGCAGCACGAAGCTACCAGGAGGAGGGAAGGTTTGGCACTCATGGCTCCGACTAGAGAGCCACTGCTGAGCGAGCTGCGCACAGGAAAATTCACAGTCCTGGTATAATGTTCTTGCATTCGACGATGGTTACAATTAGAAAACAATTTAAAGGTTGGAAAGACTAGAGAAACGTTTGCTTGTGCACTTTTGCAGCCTTCTCGAGACTCGACGGGTGCAGCTATAGCCATTTTCACAGCTCACTTGCATCTTCCGCAAAGCACAACCCACCAGACGACCTTGCAGGTAAGGCCCTGCATGGATGGTCAACTATCTCTCTCTCTCTCTCTCTCTCTCTATCTCTCTCTCTGTCCCTCCCCCTCCCCCCTCCCTTCAGCCTTCAACTCCCAGCCACCATGAGGGATGGTCACGTCCTTCCCTCTGCCTGCTGGACAGCTGACTGCTGCTTAGGTGAGCCAAGCCACGTCACATCTAAGGTCGAACGTTGGTCGTTTCAGGGAGTGGTGTACCAGCTGGACGCCGCCCTGGAAAGCAAAGAAACCCAGAAGCACGGCCTAGTCTTCATCTACGACATGTCCGACAGCAAGTACCAGAACTTCGACTACGACCTCTCGCAGAAGATCCTGACCCTGTTAAAGGTGAGTGTCGACGTCCCGAACCTCGGTCGCCCGTCCCGCTCCTCGCCAACTACACCAGGACACGGAGCGGAGCGGAGCGGAGCGGAGCGTAGCCGAGCGAGTCGAGTCGAGTCGAGCACTGGCCGTCTTCCCCGGCGCACATGCGCGCCGTGACGGTCGCTCTGCCCGTGTGTGCGTGCGCGCATCGGCCGCATCGATCGCCCTGGCCAATGGGCGCGCGCGGCTCTTCCCCCTCCAGCCGCGGGGCCGAGGCAAGGTCGCGTGCGCGGGCGCGACTGCGACTGCGACTGGCTGCGCGGCATCGATCCGCGGCTAGTGTCAGCAGCGCCGTCCAGGCCAGTCCCCAGCGAGTGGCCCCGATTCCCGCGCACGCGGCACACGACCGGGACCCCGGGCACTCCCCTCCCCATTCCCCCCGGCTCACCACTCCCAATCGACAAACAACGAGCACCAGGTTCCCGCTAAGGCCCCGTGTCGGTTATCTCGCACCCGCAGGGCGGCTACCCGGCCAAGCTGAAGAAGGTCCTCATCGTGACGGCCCCCCTCTGGTTCAAGGCGCCCTTCAAGATCCTGCGGCTCTTCGTGCGCGAGAAGCTGCGCGAGCGCGTGTTCACCGTCTCGATACCCCAGCTGAGCCTGCACATACCGAGGGAGTCGCTACCGCGGCGCCTGGGTGGCGGCTTGGAGGTGCAGCATGAGACCTGGTTGCTGCACTGCCTCAAGTCCATGACGAACCGGGCCGGGGCCGAGCCGCCGTGCGAGGTATGTCATAGTGGGGCGCATCGTCCGACTGGAGCAATGGCCGACCTAAGCGCCTGTCCTCAGGTGGCGGCTGGGCCACCGAGTGCCGCGGGCAGCAGCAGCAGCGGCGGTAGCAGCCCCAGGAGTCCAGCTAGCCCGACCCCGGAGGCTACCCGCCCTCGGCCTGGCGAGACCGAGCTCCCCGCCTCGGAGGAGGCCCCATCGCCACTGCAGCCGCCGTCCTCGGCGAGCTCGGGCTTCAGCGACGACGACAGCCTGCACGGGGAGCCGGGCCTTCAGGCCGTCAGTATGGAGCAGCTCGTCGAGGCGATACACGCTAGGGGACGCGCGGGCCTCGTCGCCGAGTACATGGAAATCAAGAAGCGGCCGCCGGACGGCACCTTCACCAGCGCCAAGTAACGACGAATCAATCGCACATGCTCGCGCGCACGCACACTATGTACGCTGACCACCACCTGATGCAAATCCGTTTCGTTCTAGGCTCAAGGCCAACCTCACCAAGAACAGGTACACGGACGTGCTCTGCTACGATCACAGCCGCGTTTGCCTGTCACAATTGGACAACGATCCGACCTCCGATTACATAAACGCCAACTTCGTCGACGGCTATAAGCAGAAGAACGCTTTTATCAGTACCCAGGGTCCGCTATCCAAGACTTGCGGTGACTTCTGGAGGATGATCTGGGAGCAGCAGACGCTTGTCGTCGTCATGACTACGAGGTGAGCACGCCATTAGGCATTAGTTTCGCATTGTCTACCGCACTACTTCTTCGCCCTACTCTCGCACCAGGTTACTTCCTCCGTCCTATCTTACATATCCATCGTTTCCATCTCGGAATCGAGATGCATCGTGTTGTAAGTCTGACATTATTATTGTCCGTGTGCATCGCTAAAGTTGGAGCCTCTGCCGCCTCCATCCAAGGTTAATTTTCTATTTTTAAATACGTGTTGTGTAACGAGGTTAGTTGATTTGGCTTTTCGCGGTTCGCTTAATTTTCCGACCTTCGAAATTTTAATAAGGAATTTGCTGCACGGTCATTATTGCTTAAGGATAATGGAAGTCGAATAGCGAATTTAGAGTCGGACAACATGCATTACGCTATCACATACCTAAGGCTTCTTGTTCCAATGATTTGCATGAAATTTGTCTGTGTTTTTTTAATGTTTTTTTTTTTGCATTTTCATAAATTGGTAAGAAGGGCCGAACGTTTGCTCGTTCACGAGGCTCCATCTCGTCTTTGTCAATTTTTATTACATTCATATTACATATTATTTGTTGACAATGTGTTCGCTATATACATTGCTCAGAGACTAAAATATTTTGTTAATTTCAAAACGCTAAATCGCAGATTATCATTGCGTTTCAATGGACTTGGAAAACATTGAAATAAAAAAAATAAAGAGAGAGAGAGAGAGAGAGAGAGAGAGAGAAACATGATGAAATGCTAATATTTCATCAATATTTAGGAAAGTAATATCAATTAATGACTGTAATAGTGATACACAAGAAGTTTTCAAAATGATAATCAATGTAAATTGAAACGCTATTAGAGTTGTAGAACGTGAGCGTACCAAATGTGCACAATACTGGGGTCCGGAAGCTGGTGATCAAGTTACAGCAGGTGGTTTCACAGTTACGACTCTTGAAGTTGATACCAATCCAGATTATACAATATCCAAGCTTCTTCTTAAGAATAACAAGGTAATTACAAATTTATTACAAAGATATCAAATAAGCATATCTACATTCTGTAAAGGACATTGCAATAAAATTTTATTACATTGCATAGCCGATACATTAAATGTAAGCAGACTTACATTGTGTTTATTAATTTTAAATACTATTTTATATGTAATAAAAATATATGCATAAGTACAGGCACATCTGCAAATTCCATAAATGTTATTGCGGTTGAAATAAATCTTTCTTTTCCAGTTTCAATCGATTAAGCGAATATTCAAGATGAAACAAATTTTTAAGCGCATGTAACAATTTTTAACTTTATGCAAGGTCTGTCTTCTTTGTTAAAAGATTAAAATAGATGACAATTATGAATGAATAACGTTAAAAAAAAAAAAATTATAAATAAATAAATAATAATAATAATAAATAAAACAAAACAATAGAGAAACTATTTGTCAAATTTGTTTCTATTTCTCATATATTATAATTACTGTGGAAAAAAAAAGAAATATTTAAATTCATTAAATCATGATTTAACGTTATGGTTTTGGAAAAATTAAGCTTTAAAAATAATTTAAAATAAAACTCGTAACCCAAGGAAATTAAATATGTAAAAGTTATTTATCATTTAAATATTGCTTCAGTAAGAAATTCAGAGTAGTCGAGTTATTTTTTATAATGATCAAATGAAAATAATGTTCAAATCAGTATAATGTAGAGCAAGAATATATTTAATTTTATTTTGCTACAAATATAATTTCAGTGACAAATCGCTTTTATTTGTTTGTAATTAATTACGTTTATCAAAGTGAGTTAAGTATGTAAATATTAATTTCTTGTACTAAAGAGTATGTCATGTACTTGTTTACATAAACAAAGACACAGAGATAATCTGTGATAATATTTTACTTTTATCTCTCGATTGTATCAGCAATAGTATTGTGACATACTTGCAGATTTTTAATTTTTGTTTACATGCCTTTGTATAAAATATTCGTACTACTTGAGTTACACATAATTTATCTGTGCAAATCATAACTAATTTACAGCAGTTTTGCTCGCTTAAACTCTGCTAATATTTTTTAATGCATTCAGTATAAACACTTCATATTACAATGATAGTTTATTTGTAATTAAATTAACTTTAATATTTAAATATCTATTATCTATTATCTGTTATCGTTATAATATAATTGATATAATAAACTTATTCTAGAATTTTATATACCACATGAGCTATATTGTTTACAATAGATTTATCATTATCAAAAAATTGTCGTTCATTTTTAAAAATGATTTACGAATACTCTCGACTAAATATTTTTCTAAAAATGCTGTTTCGCAATTCTCTTTTTTTGTCAAATTTAATTTAACGAAGAATTATTAAAAAAAAAAAAAAAAAAAAAAAAAAAAAAAAAGAAAAAAAAAGTTTTTCTTTTTTATAAATAATCTACTGCAACAAAGATGGTCGAATTATTTTTGTAAATATGAAGTCTAAATGATTCGTCATTAGAAAATTAATTAGAATGAAAGAAAGCAAGTCTCGTATGTGATTAATTTGTCTATTCTTTGCATTAAAATTTTGCAATTATATTGTAAATCGCGTTTTAATCAATTATTTAATAAATGCGAAATATTGGCATAAATATGAAAACTAAACTCTCAAATTATTAATATGGAAAGCATTTAGATAAAAGAATTTTAATTACATTATATATTAAGAACAAAAAAATTTTTTTTTTTCATTTAAATTATATGCTTTGGCAGAGTGAATTGTTATATAATTGGAGATTATAAAGATAATAGTAATTTTATAAATAAAATCTAGCTTCACGGATATGAATTATTTGGTAAAGCAATTGTGCTATAAGATGACACACGTGTGTCTCTACGTGTACAATACAATATAATCTTACTGTATAAAAATTAAATAGATCATTGAATGTGCTATTAATTGTTAAAACTTTGCATTACTTTAATACATTTATTGAAATTAAATATAAATTTCAAGCAATTCGAACCGAAGGAAACCTCTTTAAAATAATTTAAAGTAATAACAATGTTGTGTAAAGGAAAACTTTAAAAATAAATTTCACGTCCTCATATACGTAATATTTAACGTTCCTTTACCTTAAATTAGGTTACGGATAATGCGTTTGAATAAATCTGGTTTATTTTAAGCTTTCAAATAATCATTCGATTCGAATCGTAATTTAGATTAATAAAAAAAGTACACAAAACGTAAAATCAACGAATTACAAATACTTAAAAGCGAATAAAAAAATTTTTTAGGCCAAAGTTGCCAATAGTTTTTTTTTCGCCCCCAATTAACGTCGCATTAAATAATTTGCTTTTAGTGATTAATAAAGCGAGATATCTTTTACATAATTCTATGATACACAATATCACATTAGCCTCTCGTGATGTATTCTTCTTCTTCTTCTTCTTCTTCTTCTTATTATTATTATTGTTAAGAAATTCTTTATGTAATGCACGATTATTTAAAGATGCAAATGTTATATTTGTTTTCCATTATTTTTCCATTTAATGATAATTTGATGATTTATGGTTGACTTGAGCAGCTGCTTCGGAGCAGGTAAATCGATCGATCGATCTCGTATCCCTCGTAATATTTTATATTATATCCCTCGAAAATTCGAATGCTTAAAAATAAATGCCAAGGGCGATATAAGGCTGAACGAAGAACGTATTCGTTTTATCATTCGTAAGAATAAATGTTATTTGGAAAAGCTAATCTTCTGTTTTGATTATGCAGACTGAAGAGACTCGGGAGGTCTGCCACATGCTGTACACAGCCTGGCCAGATTACGGAGTACCCCAGTCAGCCAAGGCCCTTCTGCAATTTCTGTCCCTGGTGCGGCAACAGCAAAACAAATTGCTGGCTAATCGAGGCGACACATGGGCTGGTCATCCGAGGGGACCGCCGATCGTCGTGCACTGCAGCGCCGGCATCGGGAGGACAGGTAGGCGAGGAGAGGCCCCACGAGGCCGGTCGGATGTGAGATGCGTATCGATCGTGGATAGCGACTAACGAGGCTTTTCGCTTGCCAGGTACCTTCTGCACCCTCGACATCTGCACGTCCAGGCTCGAGGACATTGGGACCGTCGATATCCGGGGTACGGTCGAGCGGATACGAGCACAGCGAGCCTTCAGTATTCAAATGCCAGATCAATACGTGTTTTGTCATCGTGCGCTCGCCGAATACGCTCTCTCACGAGCAATGCTCAGCCCCCAGCACCTTGCCATGTTACCACCGACTATCGAGGACGACTCCGACTAGTTTACCAATTTATATTTATAGCCCGTTCACCTAATTAACTATAACATACCGCTCGCACAAGTATGTTTACAATAAGATATTTTATTATCATTTTACCTACCGTTCATTCTCTCGCTCATATTAGCCATACTCAAGCAAGTTTCCAATACACTTACAGTACCTATGCAAAGCAAAGACATGGCAAGGACACGCGCGCCATCCTCATAAGCCACGCTCATTCTTGTGCCCGGAAAACATAATAAAATAATGGTGGCTTGCTAATCGAATTGTTCTCGCGGTCTAAAGCGGAGATATATTATCAATTTGTCAATCGCAAATTAACAATCTCATTGAGTCGTGATATTTCGCATTATTCCAGTATTTCACTTAAAGTAACGGGACAAAAATCTTTTGCTACTAAAATAGTCATTAAAAAGTGAAGAGAAAGAAGTAAGTGCAAAAAGAACTATGTATCTTAATAAAAATGGAAAATATTAATAATAATGATTTTGCATTAAATGCACATTTATTTATCAAGTTTAAATAAAAACAAAAAAAAAAATAACAAATAAATAAATACAAAAAAAGAAAAAATTTTTATAACATTGATCCGATATTCATTTACGTAATAATACAATAATGAATAATGCACAAAGTATGTAGTAATTTTGCTTCTCGATAACATAATATTTAACAATTTTCCTTACGAGGTACGAAATTCTTCCACGTAGATGTACAATTTTAATTCTCAATTTCCAAGGCCCAAGAAATTTTTTACTTATCCACTTTCTATTAAAAAACAGTCGATTTTCTATGATAAAATCCCATAAATATTTGCTGTTATAAATAAGAGTGTTAGTTGACGATTAATATCTTCAAGTGATTGATAGGCATTTCCGATGGATGACCAAAAATTACATTAAACAATTGTCAAGATTTCAACTTTTCTGCATCGTAAAACTTCATTTTTTAATGCTTTCTTGTGCAATGTACTATTTTGACAATTCTCTTTAGACAAATAGAATATAATTACATAAGATGCTCATAAAAATTATAATTGCATCTATTGTAGTAAATTAACAAAACTCATTTCCATTATCTTTTTCAATGCAAATTTTACTTCAATGTCACGGATTCGATGTAATCAATGTTTTATGTGAATTTCGTGAAAAATATACTATAGCCATTGACAATTTTCATGATAACATTGTGATACATTTTGTAATAATATTTAATGGTCAAGTTATTCCAAAATTAATCGATTGAGCATGCTACCTCTTCCGATAATACTAAATTATCGATTCTTGTGCATTTTCATGATTTTCTCAGATTGTAAAAATTGACGACAAGAGAGAGAGAGAGAGAGAGAGAGAGAGAGAGAGAATGAAAAAGTGTTTTATCAAAAAGTAATTATTTTCTGTTAGATCTTAAGCTGCAGAAAGGTTATAGATATTAAGTATGTACGAATGTGTGTGTGTGTGTGTGTGTGTGTGTGTGTGTGTACATGTCGAGTGTACACCAGATTCCATCGATCGATCGAACGAACGGTATTCCTTCTTATCATTAATTGCACTTTGGTAGTTTAACTTAGTTCAAAAGAACACAATACTTTCTAATTTCTACTTGTGTACGTATGTATATGTGTATTATGTGTACGTGTATGTGTATGTTTGTACACGCGCTAAATATATGTATAACATATGTTCAATGTAGCGCATATATTTACATGTGATTTTATTATAATTTTAGACGACTGGATTTTTTTGTTTATAATCCTTACGTAGACGATCGCGTATCTTTGATCTTTATCGAATTTTCATTTCTACCCCTTACCATAATTACATGAACTAATTTTTCATGTATTTATTATAAATTATGGAATATAATTTTTTCCAAATCTATGACTGTATTCATTATAATACAAGTATTATTATTAAAAACAAAAACAAACAAAAACAAAATAAAATCTAAAAAGCAAAAAACAAAAAACAAAATTCAAGTCGAATGCTTTGAAACATTGAGACTCTATTCTGAAGTATTCATTTGTCTATAGCATGTTCAGTAAGCTGACAGTATTATATTTTTAGACTATCATCAACTTGCTATTATGTTTGTGTATATTACATGAATTATCCGTGTCAAATTACGTCCTTAAAAGTTCAAATTCAGAAAAGAGAATATTATAAAAAAAAAAAAAATACGTGAAGATAAGGCCCGATCATTTCTGATGAAAATATAAAGTTAAGCGAGTCATTTCTCTTAATACCTAAGAGATCACGTGGTTGTTAAGTAAATCTTTATTGTCAATCGATACATTAATCTCCTAAATGTACATTTATATTTTACCATGGAAAAATTTGGCGATTCTCATGTCCCGGTATAAATATAAATCGAATTCAAAATAAGAATTGTATATAAATTATTAGATTATATTGGATCATTCCAAGGTTTCGCATTAAAGCCCTATTACATGTATGTAATTTTTATCTTGTTAACATCGAGAGAAGTTCCAGAGAATATCGTCTCGTAGACCATAGGAAATTGTTTATACTATATACTCTATCTGGGCGTGGAAATTGTTATTTTATTTATTTATTAAATGGCATATTGTATTATAATAATTTCTTAATTCTAATATTCAAACCGTATTCTACGAAGTAACTATCATTTTAATATAAAAAGTACTAAAAACAATAACAATCATTAATTGTAATTATCAATTGCCTATTATCAATGTAGTAATAAAAATTGCTTGGCATTTTGTCACGTTCTTTGTCAGCCAGATTAATCGACTTCGTTAACACACGTTTGTTTGTATTTTTAACCAAAAATAACGTTCTCCAGACTTTCTCTCTATTAAGGTGAGAAGAGTCTTTTAATATTAGTCTCCTCATATTCAATTTCAGAGGATTCTTATTACGAGCAAACATGTTAGCAAATTTTACTCAAATTTCGAATTCATTTTTCGAAGTGCCGGATAGCAAATTGTGGAATGAGATATTTTATATAAAATATATTAATATCATATAGAGCTTGTTAAATTATTCTATAAAATGGGGGGGGGGAAAAAAAAGAAAAAAAAAAGGAAGAAAGATTTTTCATCTAAAACGAATTACTGCGATATTAATTTACTCTTATTGTAATAATATACAGTCATATTGTTACTGTCTTGTTACGCGTAGATCATACTTATTTGATGTTATTGTTAAAGTAATATGAGCTTACGTAAATGTGATTCGTGAGTGGTGTAAACGCAATGAAGTTAGAGCCTAAACAGTAGGAGGAGAGCTTAGATCTGACGACAAAATGTCGAATCTCATTATTATATTTAAAGGCGAATAATCGCAGATTTAAACTCTAAATCCCAGTGGGAGGATACGATGTCTGTATTATAAGCCATGTGTGCTCTCATTTTCAGTACGTTACCTGTAATACGTGCCAATTTGAATTAAATTTGTTCAAGCCCAAATCCAATTGCACATAATGTTTCATTAATGGATTAATTTTGAGCAATTAAATTTCTGATCTACGATGGATACCTGAAATTCCTCTCTTTCACTTCGTGATAATTAATTTCTCAATTACCGATAGCCGTCCCTATTGTGCAAAGACGGAATTTTCAGTCGTCCAATAAACAATTTCTTTCTTTTTTTATTTTTTTTTTTTAGCCTCGATGGGTGTCTCAACTAATCTCATACACATAACTGTCAAGCCATCATGAAATTTATAAAAAAAACTCTTTCATCTACGAGAGATTTAGCGTGAAACTCAATTGAATGTATAATAACGTGTCATTTGGTAATCGCCTCGAAACGAATCATATTTTAAAGCTTGAATAATTTATAATAACCATGGTTAGCGCCGCTATCAATGCTATCAGCGATATCGATGTCATATTAATAACGCAGTGACTTTTTAGAATAGAACGATATTAAAGTAATAAATCGAAAAATGTCCCATTCCACTAGTAAGAATATTGAACGGGAGGGGGGTAGCGATGATGAGAGTAATCTCTGCGAGACAATGTTTATATAACGTTTATCCTTGAGCAAGCAGGAGAAAGATTACATGCGTGTCGCTAATAACGGGGCACGTAAAAGGCGATACCCTTTGAGGGTTTGGGCGAGAAGGGAAGTGGGGTGGTTCCTACAAATTGTTCGCCCGTAGCGAAATGTTATGGTCGTTAATGGTGTATGTGAAAGGTGGAGGAGGACGCGTGCATCGTTGATAATTGTGATTGTTGTCGAGAGATACCGTTAGTCATGGCAAATCTCGCGATTGGACGCGCGAAAGCGACGCGTTAGAGATGCAACGGAGGTTGAAGCTCCGCTCTCTCACGGTGATCTACCTTACTTTCATTTGCGAGTCATTAAATTATTGTGACTGATGTCTGGCTTGGACGAGGCAGATATTCAGCTCGTGTCCTGTGTACGCGCGATAACTCAATAGAGACAAAGAGAGGGAAATAGAGATATAGAAGAGATTTTATGGATCCCGATAAATGAAATATTATAGATTCATCAAGGGCGCGAATAATGATTTTTTGAGGTGCCTTTCTCCGAGCAGCGAATGCTTGCACCAATGTACTCGTTCAAATTATATAGATAAACTTTTATAATGACTGCTCCGCCGTATTTTCGCTCATAGATATAACGAACATAAAGTTCCTGAACTAATAACGTTGACAGATAATGGAGCTCCCCCGGAGCTGTTTGGAAAGTTTCTTTAACACGCCAATAATTAAATTTCTTTCTCTATTTTACTGCACGAGAAAAGGCACCGCAACTGCTAACACTAATTATTCCTACATAAGTAACTGATCTTATGAAATCCGGGGGTTAAAAAAAAAAAAAAAAAAAAAAAAAAAAAAATACAAACGTATGGATGATAAAGAAATAGATAAATAAAGCATTAAACGAATAATTCTGCAAAAACAATAATTCTCTGTACAAGGCTTGAATATGCATTATGTGCATATGTGTATTGTTAATATTATCTGCCTAAAGTCTGAAAACTTATAAATAAAAGTATGTAAAATGTGGATATATGTAAGCGCGCATGCGCATATGTCATTTGTACGTGTATATAAAGTATATATGCATGTATAAATGTACATAAATAAGATAAAAAAAAAAAAGAAAGTTGTATTAAGTATATAAAAAAAAAACAAAAAAAAACAAAAAAAAAAAAAATGAATTGGTGTAAGAAATAGAGAGATGGAGATATTATAAAATTGTATATAACATAAGATGAAATAATTATTGTATACTTATTTAATCAAATTAATAATAATTTAATATATTGCAAATATTAATAGTCACTGTTAATCTTATTGTAAATCTCATTCATCCCTAATCCGTTCCAAGTGAGTTTTATCAATTGTAAGCCATCGGATGAAGAAATAAATTTATTTTCATTGTTGTATGAAAATTATGTATTTTATTGAACAAACATTGTTTATTAGTTTTCTATAATAATAAATAACAATAAATATAGTCGATTTAAGGCATCTTTCTCGAAAGTAGTTATTAATTTCTTTCGCCAAGGAGGAATATTTTTATTTACTTTATTATACGCATCTTGAAATGTCGAGGTATTTATTTTGACACTTTATATTAAGCTACTTAAAATTATAATTATTTACAAAGCTAGAGAGCAATGTGTCGCGAGTCTGGATACATAGTCGATACAACAATTATAACAAAAAAAAAAAAAAAAAAAAAAAAAAAAAAAAAAAAAAAAAAAAAAAAAACAATAACAGTAACAAGCGTAGTATTTAAAATTTGTCGATATCTCTTCTTTTCTTTCCTTCTAATATTTTTTGCTTTTCTTATTACATCGCTTTTGATAAACGACCTACTTAGCTTGTAAGCAAGTTCCATATTTTATGTAATGGATTCGTTCGTCTTTACTGTACAGAAAGCTTATAAAGAATGAAATTGCCGATTCGAGTGGGTCAAAAGTAACGTAAAGTATGAAGATTAATTATAAATATAATATGCTTAATAATCATTCCTCTTGACGTCATACCAACATATCTATCTCAAAGAAATCGGTACGCTACATGCATCGAGTTAATTGAGATTTATCATCGCTATAATCGCTTAGATGGATGGATGCATACATACATACATACATACATACATACATATACATCATTCACGAATATATCATTTTACGTACGTAGGACGTAGAATGGAAATGAAAAAAAAAAAAAAAAAAAGAAAAAAAAAAAATGATTTTCTTAATCGACGTTTTTTTCACACTCGAAGCTATTGTATCACAATAAGTAGTACAAGAAAATAACTTGCCGTTCCACTATTAACGAAGGGTCGCGCCTATGTCGTACCCCCAATTATTTTATATGCTCAAGTCGATTCGATCGTTCCGCCTGCGAGCTTACTAGCGTATAAATGAAGTCCCTGCAACAATTAATAACCAAAATTAAGGTCGATAATAGGTTGGTGCAGTTGTCGTAGCTGATATCGACTCGATTTCACTAACACTAACCTTGTATATAAAAGCATACTGCTCCTGCGTTTGGACAGCCCCGGCTCGGTCCCTCCTTATCGTGTAGACGACTCTAGGCACGTCGACCGTTCGAGTCATCTCGTATTGTCTAATTCCCAAGTCGAGGGCTATCAAAGTCCCGGTGCGACCGGTGCCCGGGCTGCAGTGCACGACGATCGGCCCCGTGGCGTTGCGCTGCAAGGCTCGCGCCTCCAGAAGAACGGCGATCAGTCCGGCTCCGTCCGCCGGTATACCATTCGCCGGCCAGAGATACCAGATATGCCAGACTTCGCGGAACGTGTTCTTTTCCAGATTCTGCAAACAAGGCACACGGATTAAAAGACTCGCGCGACCTTACCCATAATCCTCGCCCCATTATCCGCGTAGCTCTACACACCTTAAGGTGAAGCGTAGAAATGGCGTACTTCTCTTTGGCTTCCCGCTTCCTCAGCGTCACTTGATAATCCCCGTACAACCTATGGCAGTCGCTCACTTCCAGCGGCGGAATGTACTCGCTACACTTCTCCGCCCCGTTCTCCACGAGGTCCGTCAGCATTATTATCACCCTGCACTGTTGCTCCCAGATCATACGCCAGAAATCGGGGACGGTGCTCTCGGTCGGTGCCTGGCAGGCGATGTAGAATTTCCCGGCGTTTTTCGGGCCCCGTATGTAGCTCGCGTTTATATACTCGGTTAGTGGGTCGTTGTTGAGTCTAAGGAGAGGCACTCGCGTTTCCGGCAGCGGTATCACATTAGCGTATCGATTCTTCAGCTCCGCCCCAGGCGGCAACTCGTCTATCTTCGAGGAAACCTGCGGAATGCCGGCGAACTCCTCGTCTACGGCCGTCACGTCGGCGCAGAATGTCTCGAGAGCGGCAAAGTTGAGCGATCGGGTGGGAATGGCGCTCTGCAATGAATATTCTTGGCTTGGATTGTCAAGACGCGCAAAGCGACATTCCAAGAGGAAGTCGAGGAAAGGCTTTGCCAATGGCACTTACGGAATCTTCGAAAGTCGGGTTGCCGTAGCTGCGCTTTGATGATCTCAGCGCACCTTTGTTGCGCCTTACGCTGTTGTAAGCCGATACGCTATCGAGGCTGTATGCATCCAATGATACGGGACGACAGCGTTCGCCATAATTGAAACGGCCTTGTCGTTTTCTCATTATGAACTTTAAAGAAGATGAAAAAGATTGAATTTAAATGACTCGATGGTGGACTCAATTGTCCGTGATTTTAGACTTTTTAAGCGAATTGAGAGACAGACGTCCTAATACTATTCAATGACATAATAAATCTCGTTTATTTTTATAAATGATTGTGATCGTTGCAAGCTTTATTCATTCAATTAGGTTATTGAATTAATAATCAATTCAACGCGCAGCTTCATGCTCGGCTAATTAAATGTTGATAACAGGGGGCATTATTAAATTGTCCATTAACTGATGTACGCAAGATTAAGGAAGCTGCTGCTTATGACGAGATTTTTATACTATCTTCTTATATTAAAACCATTATGGTTTATTATTTTTAATTCTGAAACTTACCAATAAGCCAGCCAATAAAATTAAACAGATAAATGCGACGCAAGATACAATTATGACAGCAATCGCATTACTCGAATCGGCTTCGGGTACCAGTTGAAAGCTATGGATCTGCATAAAACGTTAATAAATAATTTCATTTTATACTGCACGTGAAATAATTTAAAAACAATAATAATAAATAGTTATTAAGCTTACTTTTAATGGGAAGTCAATGGGAGACATTTGATATAAACTCGGCAGAATGTTTGTTAATGTTCCGTCAAAGTGGCCACTCTCGTCGACTATATAAACCAGTACGGAGGTTAACGGTGATATGTCTGACACTAAAGACGCCGGTATCAAATTATCCGTACACTGAGTTTGATGAAAAATAATTTGCCTTTGAGATATCGTCCTGCAACATTATACACATCAATTCACTCGTAACCGCTCACACGTTGCATCTTTTTATTAACTGTTTCATGATTTTCTTACTTCGAAGGAACTTTATTGAGTAAATAAAGGTACTCGATAAATAGAAAATTATCAACAACTACACATCATTACAATCAGAATTAGAGAGGGAGAGAGAGAGAGAGAGAGAGAGAGAATATTTTAATTACTTTATAATCTTTGTTTTATTATAAGTAATAAATGAAATTGATAAAAATTATTACTTGCGAAAAATACAAGATAAAACTTGTTGAAAAACAATAACCATATTAATGTTAAATATTTTGCGAATGAAACTATTTCTAACAATTTTCATATCCCACAATTAAAATCATTTGTATTATATTATAAATGCGTATTTTTAAAAGCAATAATTTATTGTAATGTTAATTTAAAGATCTTACGAAGTATATGAAATCGTTTGAAATAATCTAGAAAGTAATAGAATAGGGGAAAGTAATTATTGAAGAAAAGAAATTATATTGAAAGGACGAAAAGATGTTGAATGTTATGATAAAGTATAGTGATATAATGTGCTCGTTAATTACTTTTCCACATTGTTGTTAATTAATTCGGCCAAAGACAGACGTAAGGCTGGTAACTTTGAGCAGACATCGTACCAACTGCCCTCAAATATAATTCTGATTAGCAAAGTTATATCTTCGGTTGAGAGCGTTGGGGAAATAACATCGATCGTGTTCTCCAAATTTTCGTCTGGCCAAGTACTCAACGAGCCATAATTTTCTGAACTTGTTGAAATCGTCTTTGGGGTTACAACCGTCCTTAACATTGTTGTCATCTTCTTTGTCGTCAATCGCGTTTTTATAGAAGATTTGGTAGGCATTATTATCACTGGTGTAGTTGTCGTCGATACTGACGTTGATTTTGTTAATGGGGCCGTTGATGCTGTTGTTGGCTCTTTCGTCATTGTTGGAATTGTCGTTGAGATAATCGCTTCTGTCGTCGCTATCGTCGAGGACGTTGTCACCGGGGTCGTTGTCGAGGACGGCGTCATTGGCGTTGGAGTAGTACCAGTAGTAGTGGTAGTAGAAGTAGTACTAGTAGTAGTAGTAGCAGCAGCAGTAGTAGTAGTAGTAGTAGTAGAAGTAGCAGTTGTTGTCGTTGCGGTCGTATTTGTCGTCGTCGTCGTCGCCGCCGCCGTCGTCGTCAAGTTTAAAATTGGCTTTAAACTTGTTAGTGTGAGTGTTGTTATTGGTATAATCGACGATTTCGTCACTGCAGTTGGAGTCATGGTTGATTGATCATCACTGTAAAAACAAATCATAATATAATTTCAGCCTTTTACTTTTATTTGACTTATTGAAAGACAAATACCATTTTTATCTTATTTATTTCAATTGCAGGATATTTATGAATGTCATTGATTGGATTTTTCATTGATTTTTCACAGATAATTAAATAATTTTAAAAATTCAGTTAAAAGAAACATACGTAATGACGGTTATCGGAGATTCTTCCTGTTGAGTAGTCGTTAATTCTATGATTGTTGAAGGAATATTAGTACTGTCGGTACTCAATATCTCGGACTGATTCATCGTTGACATCGTTGGCATCGTTGCAACCGATGCTATTGACATTGTCGATGTATCTCTCGTTAACGATGAATTACCATTTTGGGAAGTAAAGATCTCAGTATTTTTTTCTGTACACAATAATGAGCAAAACGAACATTAATTCAATTATATTAAATTTGATTTTCGATGAAAGTTGAGATTGTTTAATAAGAAAGAGGAGAGTTCGAAATTAAAATAAAAATAAAAATAAATAAATTATATATGAAATTCTGTTTTAACGAACGAACTTGATTTATAATTAATAAAAGGAAAGAATTTGTTTAATAGTAAAAATTTAATTACATAATTGTAATTAATTTTTACTTAATTCATGCTTGTTAATTACGTTGGAGTTTTAGATTAACAATGTAAAAATTTATGCTTTGTAATTATGCACAAATAGATAAATATTCAAATTATAGTTCAATAAAATTATTATTGTAAAATGCCTAAATCATAGAATGAAATATTAATTCAGGTCAGAAAGGCTGAAAAAAAAAAGAAAAAAAGAAAGAAATATAAAACAGAATTTAATTATTAAATATAATTATTATTATAAATATTAATTATTAAAAATACATTCAATTATATGATTATTAGTCAAATAAAAAAAAAATTTTCTTTTATATTTTGTCGACTATACTTAGACCTTGAATAATACATCTAGTAAAAACAAAACGAAATACGTATTAAATTCATAAATTACATAATTAAGTAAAGAAAAAAAAATACTTGTGATTTTGACAAACATATTGTGATCAATAGAAAATGACATCTGAATAAATTGTTAAACTTAAATGTTCTAACTCAAACATTATTTTCACACGATTTAATTTAATTGAAAAAAAATCTTAAATATTTAACAAGATAAGCCCGCGTCGGGCTTTGCTTATTTAAATCGATTTCATAATTACTAAATGTACATCCAATCTACATATTTATCTAATTTAAATTTATAAAGATAACACAGCCAATACCAGCAAATGCATAAACCATAAAATAGAATTAAATGTCTTAGCTCTGATTAAGTTACATTTTATTCTATACTTAGAGTTCAATGTCATTGTGGAAATAAAAAAAAAAAACTTGTCTAAAGAATTCGTTTAACTGGTTAAAATAAAAACTGCTAAAAATTTCCAAGGTATAACTTTTTATAATAATTTTTTATGCATTATATTCCATAATATGAAAAAATAAAAAATACACTAACTATAATTACCTACTTTAATATAATAAGTATTATTATTATTGTTGTTGTTGTTGTTGTTGTTGTTGTTGTTGTTGTTATTATTATTATCATTATTATTAACTATATCATATAATAAAATCATGAGAAATGATATAAAATAATGTTTCATAAGTTTTTAGAACTAGTAGAAATACACGGTATACACGAATTTGTCTCTTTTTCGATTATGACCTTGAAATAAAAACTAGAGTATGAAGATACCTTGTAGTTCCTGAGAAGTAGTATGACTTATTTGATCAGCAGACGTTATAGTTTTATCGAGCATGGACGTCGAATCGGTATCGCCATTCAAGGTGAAGGATTCGGTCGAGTTAAATAACGTCGTATTGGAGAGGAGGCCGGTGCTCTCTGATTGTGATTCAGGCCTGATGTCGCTTTGAGTCGTCGACTCCGTGCTCGAGGTGTCGACAGATGAAGAAACAGAGACGCCCGAGCGCTTTGATTGGTGAATGTCGTTGTCAAGGATATCGCTGTGGGTTACATTTGCCTTCGTTTCCCTCTCATCAATAGGACTTTGCGACCTGGTGTACCCATAAGGTTTCTCCACCTGCTCGGCCTGAGCACTCGTCTCAACTTTCTTCCCACCATACTTTCTTAAAATCTCCGAGGTGCTCTCCTCGGCCTCGGGAATAGTGTTACTCGTTCCTTGCGAAGACGACACAAGGCTCGTTTCTTCGGTCACCCCTAAATTCGCTGTCTTTTCCTCTGTCCCATGTCCATAGGAATTGTCCTGAATTGCAGATAAGCTTCCGCTCAGCATGAGTAGCAGACAGAAATCTACGAACGAGCGACGACGTCAACATTATTCTTACACCAAATTTTGTTAGACAAATTTCATTTTGAGCAAAGTATTAAAATTATGTAATAATAAATTAAAATCCGCTTTAATATTATTATATATTATTAATATTATTAATACACGGATCGGCTTCAAGAATTATGAAAGCATATATTTTTAAATGAAGTAAAAATTAATCAATATTATGGTTAAAGCCATATTCTTAATTCATAAATTATGAAATAAAAGAAAAACAAATTAATTAAGTGTTTGTTTCGTATATATTACATTTAAGGCTGAAATTATTGGATTCAATGAATGTATGCAGAGTATGCGCTCACGAGTAAAATCGCATTAAAATTCTTGTGTATGCTCTATCGATGTTAAAATTAGCATAAAAATAAAAATGTGACTTTGTATTATTTACTTCAACACTTTCTCTTATAGTATGCATATAAAATATAATGAGACAAATGCAGAATGCAATAACCCTGGAAATACCTTTAGACAGGGAATTTCTATCACGTGATACAAAATTTAATTTCACGAGTCATTTATATACAGCATGTAAATAATTCATTTTATATATAAAAAATATAACGAAATTTTCGATGATATATTCAGCTGAGTATATATAAAATATAATAATAAAATGATAAGTTATTAATACAATAGTAAGATATTATAATATTATAAGTCTTAAATAGTAATATATTATAGAAATAAATGTTTTATGTTCTTTCTTAAAACATATATATATATATATATATATATATATATATATATGTAAGTATACTTACATGTCCAGAATATTGGTGCGAGTTGTATTTTCTCTAGAGAAATTCGGATAATTCTTTGATCATCTTCCATGATCTGCAAAAAGTGAATTTTATATGCACGTAAATACTCTTATCAAACAAAACATGTTTCATAGAAGGGAGATTTGCATCAAAGTTACATATCGTTATTGACCCACATTTTAACTATTTAAATTAATTATCACGTACATTTTTATATTAAATAGCAAACAGGCACAGATCTTATGGAAAATCAAACCTTTTCTTTTCATTATTATAAAATTATATTTACAGATTAATTAACAATTGAGCATTTATCTGCAAATTTTAATTAAATTGTTAATTATTTTTAAATAACTTTTAAATTGAAGAAGAAAATGAGAAAGTTTGAAATTAAACATATCAGTATAACATATTAATATAACTTTATATTCCATAGTCATGCCATTTTCTTACTATTTCAACATAAATAATTTTAATTAACATTTGAAAATGTGGTTATTTGTTTTTACCCACTGAACTGAAAATATAACAATCGTTAAATAACAGTAATCCTTGTAATAAAGCCATTACACAAAAAATAAATTATTCTACTGTTTTAATAAATAATTGTACGTAATAAAAATCAAATAAACATGTAGCATCGTCAAGTGGATAATAAAAATATTAACTTTTTAAAAATTATACGAAAATTATTTTAACAAGTCATTCATAGTTACGGCGGTGAGTAGTATTGTGTTATATCGAGACTTATGCAATAGCAATAAGTTTAAAATAATTATAAATCTTTCTATCAGAAGTTCATTCATTTAAACGACATTGTTTTCTTAAATATTTTACTTTTTGTAACATCTGTTGTCACATATTACATAACTCAATTACTATATATTTCATTGTCATAGGCTATATAAATTTAAATAATTAAATACCAATAGAATAGAATAATAATCATATTTGCTCATTTAATTTTATAAAGAATTTTATAGAAGTAGAAGGTACGTAAAATGTTGAATATTGTTAAATGATTGAAAGTCGACACTACAGTCGATCTAAGTCGATCATACTGTAATAGTTTTTCAATAAAAGATTAATTTTTATATATATATATATATATATATATATATATATATATACAATTTATAATAGCTTTTTGGTATTAAAACTATAATATACGTAATTTTATTTACAAGAATAAAGTGATATTTTATGTTTCATATATAAAAATTAAGCTAATATCGTTTCATAAATATCAACATAAAAGTTACAGTAGTAATAAACATGATTCACTCACGCACTGATTATGCAGATATTTTCAATAAAATCGTATTTATTAAAGTTTATTCAACTTAAAATGATCAACTAATTAATTTTAATTGAATTTAAGTAAACATATAAAGAGAAGAATATTGAAGAATTTGGCTTATTTGGCTGATGAGAGATTTGTATATTTACATATAAATCATAGAAATGATAAGATATTAAAAGGTGAGTTTTTAAACTTTGATTTAGAAAAAATTATTACTTATTTTAATTTAAAAAAAAAATGTATTTTACAGTATACCAGTACAGTAGAGCACACTTTAACTCTTCAATTAAGACGATAAAAAATTTACACTTGTACCACGTTCAAGAATCCTTTATCTTGAATATTATAATCTTTCAAGTAAGTATTTGTTTTAACGATTTAGAAAATTAAGGAACTTATCCCGGTGATGCTACTATAGATATAATTAATTTTTACTATTTTTCATTGGATCTACAACACGAGGTGCAATTATTCAAAGAATATAGGTCAGCATATTCTTACGAACAGATGACAATATAATGTGCCTATAATATTTATTTTTCTAAATAACATAAATTAGTTTCTGGAATATTTTCTCTTTTTAATTATATTTTTATGCCATTAGTTATTGCGATTTATTAAAATTGAAAACTTGGTTAAATGTGGAAGTTTCATATAAATAACTTTCAAATAATGAGCAAAATTGACGATTTTCAAATAAACGATTAACTTTACGCTCGAAACTGAAAGTAAATGAAAATGATCTTCGTTAAAAATATTTAAAATATCTGCATTGTAATTATATTGTAATAATAATAAAGTGTTGTTAAATTGAAGGGATGGGCCAAGAAATTTTTAGCACAGAATAATCATCGCATGCTAAATAAAATTAAAAACAATTTATTCAAGATATCTTTTGAAATATATGATAATAAATATAAAAAATTAGAAAGTTGCTTATGAAGAAAAGCATTGTTACTTTATTTATTTCTTTTTTTTTTTCATGCAACGGTTTACCTATAAATTATTTTTAATATACGCGTAACGCTATTTCCCGCTATACCGTCGACTGCATTAGCAACAACCATAGCAAGGCTATGCATTTCTAACTACCGGAAAAAGCATGAAAATTTTGAATGTAGCATTACAGGAAATAATTACCAAACAGTAACTTTCATATGAAAATGTGTATCTTTATTAGTTTTTACCGGCACTTTAATTAAAAAAATGTTTCGATTCATTTGAACTTGGAATTATTAAAAATATTTCAAATTAAAATTTGTCTTATTTTGCTGGTGTTGCAAGTGACTTAGGCATGTACCTTGATTGTTAAATGAAATTTTATAAATTTTTATCAATAGAACATTTTAATCAGATTTGAAAATAGAAAATTAATCGTCTATTAATTTGTGGTAATTATTAGCAGTCCTTCTGGAATTCTTAAATTACCAAACAATACGTTCAACAATACACTCAACCGTGGTGTCCGACCAGCCTAAATGTCATTATTAAAATTTAATATTCACGATAACAAATGTAGACAGAACAATAATAATAGTAGTAATATAATAAGAAGGGATATTTATTTTATATGGGCTGAAATTTAATGAATACTTGCAGCTTATTTAACATACGTTACTGGAAATTGCTCCTCCTTCTAATTATTTATACAATAATATGAATAACTCAGTCATCTTGTTACTGCAATAACTATTCACATTGAGTGTCACTGATCAGTTCGAGGTTCTAACAATGAATGAAGAAGAGGTTTCCGGTGTTCTTCTGCTAGCCGTAATAGAGTAACTGTTTTATGTATTATCTTTCTTGATCTAAACACGAAAATCTTTTGAAATACATTGTAAATAGGGTTTAAATCATTTTAATTTTTTAATATCTCAAACAATTTTATGTAATTCAAAATATACGCATACTTATTTCATGTTTCATAGAAGAATAATTGAAAAACAGTTGCACAATTTAGTCAACGAATAATGTTCGAAAAGTTTGTAAATAATTGTATGTTAAAATAAATTTCTTAAAATTTATTAAATATTCGACACGATAATGCCTGTCCAATGTATTCTGAATTAAAATTGTACTTTATCGTATCTAATCGACTACACTCGTGATAAATTTTTTCAAAGCGATGAAAAAGGTTAGTATTGATATTCAAACACTTTAAAATTAATTGGATTGTATAGAACAAAAAAAAAAAAAAAAAAAAAACGTTTGAAAATGTCATCAAATAACCGAATGATTGCAATTTTAATATACAATTAACATTCTAAAAAGCCTTATGCATCTCACTTCATTAATTTAAACTGCTTTTTTCAAATTATTGTCATGTAAGATGTATCAGTGCTCATTGGTATTCTCAATAAGTAACTTCAATATTTGTTTCAAACATGCACAATATTTATAAGATTTTAAGCAATACAATAACATTTTATCAATAACGAAGCCAAAATTATATCAATCTCACGCACGTTTGTTGAATGAAATTTTGTCTTACGAAATTCCTCGTCTGCAATGTTTCACCCTTCCTATCTCTGGATACTTATGATAAATACATTTGAAAGATTAATTTCATTGCTTAATTTAAATTGATGTCAATGAAGTATTTTATTTCGTGCTTTTATAGATCATTGTGTTAAAAGAAAATTTTAATCATTTAATATTACGTATAGCATAGAAATGAAAATGTATAATTATACAAAATGAAATTAATTTGAAATAATTACAAAACTTTCGACCACATAATTAGCACGATGAAATATGCTATTATTATTAGAGCCGATAATAATATCGCTAATTTATAAAACCATGAATTATTTAATCAACTTCTGATTAAACACGTGTTGAGGGCCAAATAAAAATTTGCAAAGTTATGAGAAATAATTACTCATGTGTATCGTATAAGAAATTATCAATACATTTAAATATATTTTAACTTGCATAATTCTTTAATCTAACAAAAGTAAGGAAAATTTTTTAATAATTATTGTGTTTTGTCATAGTGTATTTCTAATAATATTTCTGAGAATGATGTAAGCTCAAACGTTTCCCATTCATTCGGTTAATTTTATGCTAATTTCAATAAGAAAATTTCAAGATAGAAACTTTGCTTTTCATACAATCGATACATTGACATTATTTTATTATTATTATTACCGCGATATGATATTTATTAAAAAATATATGTAATTATGGTAAAACTACGATTCGTCATTCGTTAGATATCACGATAGTTTACGTTTTAAAGTATTTAAATATGTAAAACGTAAAAATATATTTAATACTTTATCGTTTTATTTAAAACCGCTGACTCATGATAATATAAAATACAGTAAAAATTCTTACGCTGCCTTATAAAAAAAAAGCACGGCCTTTAATTACCTTATACGACTACTCAAATCTTAATTAATTAAGTAAAGACATTTTAAAATGTAAAAATTACAAAACGACTACTCGAGTATTAAATAGATAGAGTGACGCATAATGATAAAGTATTAATACCACGTGTGGCTTTTCAAATATGGAGTTAATCAAAGACACGTACCTGCTTCATAATAGATTATTTTAACTTAATGTTAATGTTCACAAACAAAAAAAAAAACTCTAATGTTACAACAATTTGAGATAATTTTATTTAGAAAATTCAAAAAAAGAAATTATCGTAAAAGATTTTTAAATATCATTATATAAAGTATTTGCAATGAAAATGAAAGGGATATTATATATTTTTGTAAAGCTCGAGTTATTATCGTAAAATAGCCGAATCATTTGTAATT